TTGTGAAAACCTTTCTGAAAACATGTCAGTATTTAAGCGACAAGGTCACCTTAGACGCTTTATTGAACTTTCACGTTTTTGTGTGAACACCTAAATTGGCGCGATTACTTGTGTGGATTTCTTTTGTTTTGTTTTTTTTACAAACTCAGTGTGGTGCGGACACAGTTCTACGCAGTGTGGACTCATTTCTGTGTGGCGTGGACACTCAGTGTGGAAAAACGTGAACTCATTGTGTAAGTGTTGTGCTATGTACATATGTATAGCCTTGTGTTTGCTACTGAATAAGAGAAGAGGAGTAGCCGGTGCCACGCATTGGCACCAACCTCTCCTACATACATTTAATAAAAAAACCAACTTGCTGAATTGCTGGTTTGTTTTACTACGCGGCCACGAGTAGCTGAATTTTGATTTTTTCGACGCTGTGTTGTATGCAGCCAGTCGCGAAGGGCGTTAATTTCATTTCCTCGCGGTTTTTTTTTTGTACGCAGGTAAACCACTCACAGAGCCTGTCAGCTTCTCATGTCAAGGCATGGATTTTGTCCAAAAGCGATGGCGAAGAAGTTGCAACCCATTGCTTATGTATGGCCGGCAACGGCGAGGCGTGTTCTCATGTGGCGGCCCTGCTGTTTTACTTGAAGTACGGCGTACGCGCGCGAGACGGCGACTCGTGCACAGATGTCACCAACAGCTGGCTCCCGCCGCACGTCCGCAAAATCGAACACACTCAGTACTTGTCGGGGTCAGTCGTTACTGGCCGGTTGATCAGGGCGATCCACTCGCGACGACGGTTTCCGACAGGGGCCTTGTCTTCTCGCACTCCGTTGGGCGCACTTTCGGGACTTTGAAGAAGCCTGGATCTTTGCTGCTGATTTCAATTTTCATCTGTTTGCTCTGCGTACGGCTGGCGCAACCGACTATCGCACAGTAAACCATTGTCGCACGTAGTATTAGAATACACTACCACGATAAGTTTGCTGAGCACTCCCGTCAACGTGTTTCCCGTGCTCCGCTGCCTGACTGAGGACTTCAAAATGGCGAATTCTCTCATAACGCACCGCGCGCGGCGCATCAATGAGTACCCCCCATACGTGGTGGAATAATAAACGTATCGTAAATTCTATCGCTCCAAACCTGACGTCTCTCGGTCTCCCTCCGAACTCTCGACAACTCCACATGAAGACAGCGCTGAACAAGAGGTCACCTAGCAATCCGTGGAGCCACAAAACGACGAACATGCTAGACGGAAGGGGAAATGACGCTCAACAAGCAGCTACATCAGGCCAGAAACCCGTTCGCTTTCGTACTGCGAGATACGCTGGACTTCCGATACCTAAATACGGGAAACGTTAGATCGCAAGGTTCGACCGCTATTGTATTGTGTCAAGACTCCACCTTCGCGTTGGGGATACACAGGCGAACGCGTTCTGTACGCAATAGGGATGAAAGCCGAAAATGTACCGGCATCAATAAGCCTGACAATCATTGACCCCTCGGATCATGCAACAGTGAAAAGCAAGTTCGAGAAACACTTCGTACTGTTCGCAAAACCTAATTTATGAGATGGCTAAGTTGAATCGCCAAAAGCAGAAAGTCAGTGAGTCGGTCGAGTCTTATTTCACGGACCTACATAAGCGTGCTGAAACATGTGAACACGGTTCACTGACACTCGACTTCATCAGTGACCGGTTGGTTGCAAGAATTTTGGACCTTGGTCTAAGTGAAAACCTGCAACTAAACTCACACTTCAGTCTGCACTGGAAATTGCATGGACCTCAGAAATTATCAGAGAGCAACAAAAGGAGCTACGCCACAAAACGAAACACGCTGTGGCGGCCGGGGAGCTGCAATGATGAAAAGCACCTTCACACCTTGGAGGCGGGTCTCGGAAACCAGCTAAACCACTGGCGGTGCACTTCGCGGGGCGAAATTTGTGACAGCAAACACTCGAAGACAGATGTGTTAATAAGAATACTCTTTATTTTAAAGGGCATCAATAGGGACCCAATACCATCGCTTTCGTTGGGCATCTCTTTGCCTCTCGTCCCTGCGTGCGCTGTGGCCCCTTTACAGTTTCCGTTTACTCTGCTTCGTCAGAACTCACGAGAATAGGAGGGAGAGATCGCAAAAATGTCTTTGTAACTGTGTAGAACTCTATGATCAAGTGATGCGTGCAGCCTCTCTATCTTTTGCGACACGCTTAGAGTGTGGCGTGGTTCGCAGCATGGTAATACAAAATAGAGTGTACCTCCGGAGACGTCCATTTTGTTTTGTAAAGTTCTGTCGACACATTCAATAATAAAAAGTTGTTTCATGTTCATCTGTTATACAATATGATAATCTGTATGCATTCAAAATACACAGCATATATTACACAGAAGTCTTGGCGTAAAATAGTGACTTCGTGGTTCAAACGCGTTGAGTTGTGTACTCCGCCGCCCATCATATTTTATTAGCCATCCTCGCATGCACATTTGAAGGTGAAGCCCACGCACATTTTACATGAGCACCGCCTTTCAGCGAATGGGGGTTATTTAGCTTGGTCTTTCTAAGCTGGCTTGCTCTCAAGGTGCATTGCAGTGAAGACCCTTCGTGAATAAAGTGATGGGTTATAATTGTTACTGTGCAATTAAGTATGACGACTTTGTGTCTGCACGTGAACTACTTGTCACATAATACCCTCCTCGGTAATCGTGCCTCCATCAATGTGTCTAGGTAGACTTTTAACAGGACTTATAACTGCAACGATCACCCTAACAACTTGACGATTTATAGGAAATTGGCCACGTCCATGTTATCTCAGCGTTTGCTGGCTTTTAACCTTCGCATGATAATATTAATACATCTTTTTTCTCGGTTTAATTATGAATAAAAATTCACTCATTGGAGTCACTTAAAATAGGCTAAAATATCTTTCTTGTGCAAGAAACTAAGCAGTGATGGAAGATATACCTGGAAGAAGTTCAGGCCTATTTTAGAACTCTCGAAGATGTTTACTTGCTACTGGGTGCACACTCGGAGAGTGGCAGGATGCCGAAACTAGTAGATGTAGTGTGATTGCGTGCATCGTATTCATTTACCACAAGAAGCAAAATATTTTCTGTGGGAGGTAAAGTCGCAACAACTAAACTGATACCTGGAAGGACACTAGTACATTTGCTGGTAATCTCAAGTTGTCGTTCAGTCCAGGAACGTCCTAAAAAATTGAAGGCTCCGACTAAGCAGTACAAATATTTTCTCGTTTGAATCATTACAATTTCACTTGTTTAAGTCTTTGTAATCATTACTTCGGAGTGGAAAGAAGGATAGTTTCAAAATCTGGGCCAGTAATTTTTTTCTGTAATGTCAACAATTTCGCCAAAAGATAATTTAAAGTTCCAAACGCACTTTTTCAATCTTCAAAGTGGTTAGGAGCCTGCTGAGGCATACGTAAGTACCTCCATTTTTCGCTAGAGTTTCAAAAAGGAAGAAGTGTTTAGCAAAGATTACGAATGAATATTTATGTATCTAGACGCACACAATGTCGCATATACGACACAATATAACATGAAATGTTGTTCAATGCTATCGATAAAACCGTATTTAATGCTTTTAGACTTTACCACTTACGTTCACACAAAAGATACTCTAATCGCTGTGCTACAGTCAATGAAAAGTGTCCCAGGCTCTTACAAAAATTGCAGAATATTCACGAGGTGAATGATGGCGAGTGGGTGGAATTCCGAGGATTATTTACCCCCACCCTTGCTTACTTACCTACCTTATTTATTTATTTATTATTTATTCAGGTCTTTATTTATGTCGAAGTGCACTCCCCAACCAAAATGGAGAAACCCAAGAGTGAGTGCATTACTTAGCTCTTAAGCTGTCGCAGCAAAACATAACAGCGTGCCCCGAGTGCAATCGCGATAATCGTTCTCCTCTTCTACCTACGATCCGTGCGCTCGCGGTCAGCGCTCCTGGCACGTGCAAGCCAGGACAACGGAAATCGGAGGGCCACGCTTGACTTTTAAGTGCTTCACCTCAAAATCAGCATCTGAGTGTCTGCAAGGAAGTAATCTAGATCCATTTTTATCTGTTACTTCATTTACAACACATCACAAGCACTAAATACTTTCAAAGTTAGTTACTTAGCTGCTGTTTATTGAACAGCTTTCATTCTTTCAGTTTATTAGCAAATAAATCATATTTGCACTGCTGCATAAAATATTGGAAATTATGACAGAGAAAGTCACAAACCGATAGTAGGGTGTCGGACGAAAAATTTCCCATCAATAGGAAATGTATACTGTCGCCCCTTCAAAGTAGCTTCATTCGTCCTATAAAGTGGCGAATTTTGTGAACAAAACGAGGTTGAAACAATGGGTTCTGATAGTTGTTTCTTAGCAACTGGTAACTTGTTTTGCAATAGTCGATAGAGTACTTATGAAGATCAATTTAAATGACGTCGGCAAATTTTTTTATTGAATTGTGCTCTTTGTTCTGTTGATGGGCATTTTCGCAATTTATACACTTCCGCATTACAATATTTTATACGACTGGCATCCAAAACGCATTTAAACTTTTTGGCATAAATATTATACACCGGAAGACAGTAGTAAAGTATTTTCTGTGCCCAATTTACGCTTTTCAGGATGACGTTGTGAAACACTTTAATACTTAGCTGCTTTAAGCAAAAACAGCAAATTCCCTAGTCCCGTAGTGCTACAGGCGTCGGCATAGGATTATCGCATCTTAAACGATGATCTCAAAGCTCTAATCCCGCTCCTTTGGTCTCTACAATAGCCTAGCTAATGTACACAACGCAGCTGCTATACATTGTTTTAACAGCGCATTTTACTTACGAAGTGAGCTCCTATTTCGACCTGCGTCACTGAAAAGGAGGGCTCGCTTTTGTGTAACAGCCGCATGGCAATATATATTATGAGATCACTTAAATGTATCCTGCGTTCATTGTATTGTTTGACCAGTTTCAAGGAAAACATTACATAAAGTCGGGGTAAGAAAACCTGATATCCAGAATTTCATTTTAGGAAACGCAATAAGGAGTGGCTTTGCTCTGCCCTAATGAATGTGATACTCGTGTTATTTGCTGCATGCTTTGCTTCAAACGTTCTTGGTGAGTGAAACGTCAGTGTGCTTTATCGTAGTATGGCATGTTGATTATGTAGTATATACGTAAGCAGTGCCATTATTTATTTTAATTAGTAAAAACTTCTAAAACCATTAGGAATGACTGTCGAAAAGACATGGAGTTTACATATATTGTCACGAACTAGGAGCTCGAAGAAACATACAAGGTTACGCGACTGTCAAAATCTGAGACACAAAGAAGGACATCTCCGCTGCCACGGGTTGCGTGTGTTGGTCTTCTTCGTTCACTGGCACAGAACTGGCTCACTGTTCACTGGCACAGAACACCAAGTGGCATTACTCTTCCCCCCAAGAAAGCATCAACCCGATGCTTAAAAAAAGTGCGCAAAGTAGTGGGTTGAAGTAGACAACATAAACAGACATTAAACAAAGTAGCGCACGAGAGAAAATGCGTCCTGAACCCGGCAATCTGAAATAAACGGCATTCACTGTTCTTAATGAGTTCACTGGCACACGAACAAAATTCGCATCACCGCGTAAAGTATGGTTTTAGGCAGACGACGCGTACAGTCTCTGGGTGTGGTAACCTTCGCTGGGATGATGGTGAGCCTCCGTCTGGAACCTCTTTGTAGTTATGTCGCTCACACGTCTGAGTACTTTGTAAGGTCCAAAGTACTTCCTCAAGAGTTTCTCCCTGAGACATCGCTGCTTAATGGGTGTCTAGACCCAAACTTGGTCACCAGGTTCATAATTAACTTCTTGATGGCGGATGCTGTACCACAGTGCATCTGCGCACTGTAGAGTTCTGATGTGCACATTGGCCAGATGACGTGCTTCTTCAGCGTGCTGAATGTACTCATTGATGTCGGGGGCTAATTGGTCGAGCATGTCGATGTGCTCATACGGAATTATGGCATCAAGCATAGTTCTGACATCTCGAACATAAACGAGCCAAAATGGCGTCAAGCGTCTAGTTTGCTCGCGTTGCAGTGTTGTACGCAAATGTTACGCATGGCAAGATGTCGTCCCACGTTTTGTGCTGCACATCCACGTACATAGAGATCTTGTCGGCTAGCGTTTTGTTTAGCCTTTCTGTTAAACCATTACTCTGAGAGTGATACGCAGTGGTCTTTCGATAGGTTGTATAACTCAACCTGATGATATCATCCAAGAGCTTCGCTGTGAATGATGTCCTCGATCAGTGATGACATAAGGCGGAGCGCCATGCTGTAGCACAACTTGATGCATAAAAAAGCTGGCAACTTCATCTGTGGTCCCTCGTGGCAATGGCTTCGTCTCAGCGTAACGCGTCAAGTAATCAGTTGCAGCAACAATACACTTGTTGCTGTAAGAAGACAAAGGAAACGGGCCTAGGAGGTTCATTCCCACTTTATCAAATGGTGTAGGGGGTCGATCGATCAGTTTCAGATGGCCTGCAGGCTTTTAGGGTGGTGTCTTGTGAAGCTGGCATTCCCGGCACCACTTTACGTAGCGCTTGACACAGGCAGACGTTTTAGGCCAGTAGGAGTGTTGTCACACCTGGCCCATAGTTCTCGAGTAGCCCAGATGGCCGCATGTGGGCTCGTCATGGCAAGCTAATAAAACGCCATCGCGGAAGGCTTCAGACATGACGCAAGATGAGATCTGTCACCAGCACCAGTGTTCTTTTTGTATAAGACGCCATTTAGTAGGCAAAATGATGGCAACGTTTGCGACATCAGCCGAGGAATGGGCACGGTGCCACCTTCTAAGTGATCTATATTCATTTTTAGATCAGCATCATTTTGTTGACGAGATATCAGATCCGGCCCACTCAGAGTTGCCATGAAGGCGCCGTTCTCTTCTGCGCTTCTACTGGCGGATTGAAGAGGTGCTCGTGATAGCGTGTCCGCATCTTCGTGCTTTTCGCCCGGCTTGTACTCGAAGGTGACATCAAATTCCTGTAGGCGCAGACTCCATCGTGCTAATCGTCCTGAAGGGTCTCATAGATTGGTCAAGCAGCACAAAGCATTATGATCAGTAACCATTGTAAATGGTCTTCCATAGAGATATGGCCTAACCTTTGTAATTGCCCAAGTGACAGCGAGACATTCTTTCTTTGATGTATAATAGTTAGATTCTGCGCGAAACAGTGTGCGACTTTCGGAGGCCATCACCCGTTCAATGCCGTCTTGTCGTTGTACCAAGATAGCTCCAAGACCAATATTGCTGGCATCAGTGCGTACCTCTGTGTCAGCATCTTCATCGAAGTGGCCTAGCACGGGAGGGGAAGAGAGCCGGTGCTGTAGTTCCGTGAAGACAGTCTGCTGTTCATAAACTCAGACAAAAGGTGTGTCATCACGCGTGAGGCGTAAGAGTGGCTCCGCAATGTTGGAGAAATTTTCAATAAAGTGCTGGTAATACGCACACAGACCAAAAAATATTCGAAGACTTTTCTTGTCAGTTGGAGTTGGAAAAGCGGCGACGGCAGTTTTGTCAGTATCAGGCCGAACACCAACGGCGCTCACGACGTGACCAAAAAACTTTATTTTTCATAGCCGCAATGACATTTCTCAGGCTAGAGTGTGAGATTGGCCAATTTAATGGTTTCGAGCACATTCCGAAGGCGACGAAGATGCTCATCAAACGTTTCTGAAAACACAATGACTTCATCGAGGTAGACGAGACAGCTTTTCCACTTGAGGTCTGCCCGGATGGTGTCCATCAGTCGCTGGAATGTGGCTGGAGCGGAACCGAGGCCGAAAGAGAGCACTTCGAATTCATAAAGGCCATCCAGCGTTACAAAAGCGGTCTTTTCCCGGTCACTTTCATCGACCTCTATTTGCCAAAACCACTCTTCAAGTCGACGGACGCAAAATACTTCGCGCGCCACAGCCTGTCCAGAGAATCATTCACTCTGGTCAACGGGAAAACGTATTTTTTTGTGACATTCTTCAACTTCCTGTAGTGCACACAAAAGCGAAGCATACCATTTTTCTTTTTCACAAGAACGACTGGTGATGACCAAGGGCTGCTTGAAGGCTGTATCACGCCATCCTGAAGCATTTCCTAAACCTGCGTTTGAATTACGTGCCGTTCGGTTGGCGAAACACGATAAGGCTGCTGCCGTATGAGATGCGCGTCGTCGCAGGTTATAATACAGTTTTTCATAATCAGTGTTTGAAGTATCTTGGATGAACATGCAAAGCATGTGTGGAATTCTAGCAACAGCTCGCTCAAACGCTGCTTTTTCGCTTCAGAAAGCGTTGGATTGATGTCGACGCTGCGGAAAGGCGCTTCAGCAGTACCGATGGCTTTGGAAGCAAAACACTCGGTGACACTGGTGACTGGGTCGGCGTAGGCGATGACAGTTCCAGGAAAATGGTGCCGGTACTCGTAGCTGAAGTTTGTGATAAAAACATCGCAGTGATCATCAAGAAGGTCAACGAGGCCTCTTGCTACGCAGACACCCTGAGACACAGAAGCGAGTGATTGCTTTCCACGACTGCTTCACCGTGCATCACTCCATCCCACGCCACCTGAACCACAACAGTTACACGGGGTGGTAACGTGACAGCGTCGTCGATAACACGAAGAGACACTCGGGAGAGGCTGGGGTCCGCGTAAGCTGTTGTGGCGTTTGTGGTCGCGAAAGTGACTAGACGTCGTCGAATGTCAATTATAGCACCATGCTCCTTGCGAAAATCCCTGCCAATGATCAGGTCTCGAGAACACTGCCGGAGAATGCTCAAACTGACAACAAATGTAAAAGCGCGGACTTGCAATCTCGCTGTGCACATACCGAGTGGCGTGACGATATGCCCGCCAGCTGTACGAATTGGCGTTCGGTTCCAAGGCGTCGTTACTTTCTTCAGAAGGGCGGTCAGTTTTTCGCTAAATATAGAATAGTCTACACCAGTGTCCACTAAAGCGCTGACTTTGCGACCATTTAGCAGAACAAAAATATCTAAGGAAACTCTTCCGCAAATTGCCGGTGATGTCGTTGTCGATTTATCATCAGTATCTTCAGTCCGCGTCAATAAGGGGCCTTGAGCATGACCAGTCTGAGCGGACTTGCCCCGGAAGGTCGCTGTGGCTAGTTTCGCCGACGCGGGCTAGGTGACCAGCCCTGCACCACGCCTGAATAGGTTCGATGATTGGGCGAGAACCGCCATGGTGGTGGAGAACGTGAGTGGGGCCGAGATGTCGATCCGCGCTGCTGGGCAACGTAGTCCGCAATTTCCGGAGGCCGCTGGCCGAACCTAGGAGGTGTGGAGTTGGGCGAAAAACCACGAAGTCCCCGCTCTCGATAAGTGCACGTTCGGTAGATGTGCCCAGGTTCGCCACAGTGATAGCAACGAGGACGTCGATCAGGGGCCCGCCACACGTCTGATTTTCACGGAATCGGTCGGCGGTCGCTGAGGTACGGGCTCGCTTAGACTGCCTGAAGCATGGCTGGTGTCGTGGTATGAGGCGAAGTTAAATGCAGTGCAGGTTGGCGCATACTTTGGTCTGCCGGAAGCATAGCAGGGGCCGTGATGGGAGGCGGAGCCAAAGGTGGTGCTGGCTGGAGCAGAGTTTGCGCATACGACATGCGAGGAAAGTCATTTAGGGGCCGCGGCTCTGTCTGACAGGACAGTTCTCGTAGTGCGTGCTGAACTTAATCTTGGACAATGCCGAACAAAGAACTGACAGTGGGGTCGAGTGTACTGATCCCTTCTGCAGTTCTTCGTCGATTACAAAGGATATGAGCTCACGGAAGAAGTTCACGTGGCCCCCAAGACCGCCCGTGTAGTCCGTAGCAGAGGCGAAGTTCACTTGTTTCTCATACGTCTGTGTTCGTTCCGCGCCCACAGACGGATGGATGGGTAGATGGATAAAAGCGCAGACTCACGGATAGAAGGGTGGGCTGACTGGTGATGCACGCGTGGACGGAAAGACATACAGACAGACGCAGGGGCGTACGGACGGACGGATGCATAGGCAGACAGTCAGACGAATGCATGAACAGGTGGATGGATGCATGTACGGATGAATGGATGGACAGACAAACACCGGCCACACGCTGGCCAAACACTGTCCTGATAGGACTCCGGCAAGTAATGATCGGAACACACCCGTGGCGTTTTGCTCGGTAACCAGTTGTCCCACCTGATCGCACTGATCCTCTTCTCACAGACGGCAATGTCAAGTGGAAAGTCGTGATAGCAAACACTCTGCGTCTTGGGTGAGTAGTTTGTGCAGCCCACAAAGAAACACTAACTTTCGCTCATCTCACGCTCATCCACAGAAAACAGAAAATTGTACGCTAAACCAGAGAAATGCCGGTCAAACGCTACGGAGGGAGGAAAAGCAGCGCCTAACACCGCTTCCGTCAAACATGTTTAGGCCGCCCTCGCCTTGTGGCCAGCATAGTAAACGCTGCAGCAGCCAAAGTTAGCGATGCCACCAGCTGCGTCACTTCCATTGACATCCAAGACGTGACGACACACAAAAAGTGTCGCCAATAATTCTGACAATCCAGGTGAACCATTTCGAGGCTATCTTCGAAGTTCATTTGCAAACTATCAAAGCAACTTTCAGGCCTGTAATTTAGCATAGGTGATAGTAATGTGCTCAATAATGTAGCCAGCGAGTTTCACTGAGATCGATTGACCTAAAAAAATATCCGGAGTAGGCCTTAAACGAGTGCACGTGACGACATTAGCCACTTCTCTTTTTCTTCTTCAGACACACGGCTTACTTTCCCTGTTGGATACTTACGTGTCTGGCTCCTTATGTATGCTGCCTATTTCACTGTGACTGGGAATGAATGCGTGGGCGCGGACTGGCCTGCCTCCGCAGTCACCGTAACTTTGGAAAATAATTGTAGATATGATGCTCCATGCGGCTTTGATTGGTTGATAAGTTATCAGGAGCCTCTACTACCAATCAGCAGTGTTTTCTGGACTTCTTTGAAAACGTTGCAGGAACACTTTCAGACATTTTGGTTGATAGATAATCGGCTAGTCAACCGAAAGTAGCTGAGTGCGTCTGCTAAGTTATCAGTCGGTGTTGGTGCGCAGGTTTTGCGTCGCGCCATAACCTTGGGATTCGTGAGAAGTTTACCGCAGTCGTATAACCTATAAATTTCTGTTTAGCATTTGGCAAATTTTAATGTGGTTTTGCTAGAGCTCACAAAATGCGCCAGCCAGCGCTGTCATAATCTCAGAATCTGGTGCAATTAGTCCCAGAACCTGCGTATATACTTCTCCTCTCGTATTGACCACCCTAACAATCTAGCCATTCTTGCCTGCCTCACCGACCCCTCTTTTTAATCTTTTGGACTGGCCACCAGCAGAAGTTGGAACTCAATTTCCTCTTCTATTGCTGCCACAAAGAACCAAGTGCTGTTTGAGTCCGCAGCTTCAGAACACTTCATGGAGCAACTGCACACTGCTGTTTTTTGTAGTCATATTATGTTTTTTTTTCTTTTCAAGATGTTGTAGTTTGTTGTATATTTTTATCTGTTGCTATTACTATTTTACCTTGTGCATATTGCACCGAGCCCCCTCCCCTCAGTTGCACAGTCTGGGATTTTAGGGTACAAAACTAAATAAATAAATAAATAAAATCTACTGTCGTGATAGCCTCCTAGATGAAATTTTTGAAAGTGTTGCTGGCACTATTTAATTTAGGTCAGGAAATTAATCCGCTTCCTTGCGCGTCGCTAGATGTGAGGAGCGTGGCCTAGGCAAATTTTCACTGATTAATTATGTAACAATGAATCCCGCAGTGACCGGAATTCGCCAGAATTTTTATTCCGCCAGCATGTTTCAACCTGTTACCTCTCTCTAATTTATGAACTACATTCTTACTTTACATGTGGCGTTCCATTTGCATATAGACCTTAGTATCAGTTCACCACTAAGTTTTACAAAATGACCTTTTTTATATGTTTCTTACAGCTGGATGCAAGCGGAAGAGGTGCCCTTTTGGTAGTGGCTACGGCTGCATACCCTTCACTCAATGCCCTGTGCGCTGTATGACTTGCTATAGCGGCTGCAAGTTACCGTCTGTATGCTGCAACCTCCGTATGACACATTCGTTGTCATTATTTGTCATATAGAAAGCACAAGGGCACATATGAATCTAATGACAGAAGGTGCCTAAAGAGAAAGTATTAACAAAAAAAAAAGAAAAGCTCAGGATACTATGTTAGTTAAAGTGCACATGCACTTCAAATGTACGAACCAACTTTGTGCACTCCTTCATCTCACCCAAATCGCTAGGTTGTTCAGCTCTGTTGTTACTCGATGACAAGACGCCTAAGCGTATATTCTGCTGATAGTGGAAGATTCTTGGCGACCCCACCTCATCAATAGGATGTTGCAGTCGAAAAAATTGCTGGGCCTACGTGCACTGCGCAACACAGTCGTAGCGAAAGCTGGAAGAGTGGCCTTTCCATGGAAATATTAAGTGAGTAAATTCCGTTGTTGACATTATTGCTTCCTTAGCGTCTGCAAGAAGCGCAAGTTTTCTGTATCTTATCGCAGTTAAAGTGGCCACTTCGGGAAGGACTGATAATACTGGCCTTTCCAATGCTGCTCGAGCTAGAGAGTCGGCGATTTCATTTACTTCTAAGCCGCAATGACCAAGTATCCATACTAATTTTAGTAGCTGCAGCTGAGGAGGGACTACCATAAGGAGTGTCTTTAAGGCCATTGATTTTGTTGACGCCGTAATTGACGTACATACTGACAGGGCATCCATGATTATGATCGCGTTATCGGCATTCAAAGGTAGCGTTCGGAGCGCTAGAACTATTGCCAACAGTTCAGCTTCAAAAACTGGGGTGAAATTCAGTAATATTAATGAAAAAGACCAGTAAATGGAATGGGAGTATTTACCTACACCTGCCTTTTCATTCATTCCTGACGCGTCTGTGGCTATAATATTATTCGTTTCTGCGTGTGCAAGATAATCCTGCAGTCAGCTATTTAAGACCCTATAGGATTGTAGTTTGGGCTTAGAGAGAAAAATCTCATCGAATTCAATCTTAAGATTTTCATTTGTAACCTGTGCCACAATCACATCTCGAATTTTTAGATTTGTCCTATCTAGTTTTTTCTGGACAAAACCGATTTGAGGGGTTCGAAACCATGGCCTATGGGCAAAAAAAGGTGTCTGGCTCATTTATAAAAGCACATTCAGATCGTATTGGCGCATAGCTATAAAATTCATCCTTTATGCCGCTCTTCATCAGTCTTCTGGGAAGCCTGGTACCTGCCGTACGCTTGCGAAAAGTATGTGAATTCTTTCTATGCTGTGAATGACGCCGATGAATTGTTATGCCTGAAACTTTTGCCATGGATTGGTACATTCGAGGACCCACTCGTTGCAGAGTTCGCATTGTGTGGCAGCTGGTAGTTTCTTCGCTGTTTTGAAATGGTTTATAAATTTATTAACACGATTTCATTCCCGACATCAAGCCTGCCTAAGGCACGGAGTTTCAAGCACCGGCATGGTTCCGTGATAGAATACTGGTCTGCCATGGAAGAAACCCGGGTTCAGCTGTCCTTGTGTCCATGGTGTTCCTGTTCACTTCTTTCTTTCTTTTCTTGTTCTTCTGTGCCATAGTGGTTACGCGGACAGCGGCGGCGGCGGACAACTACAGCGCACGCGACCGTCGTTGTGATCTCATAACATGTTTCTCAGCAAAACTGCCGGATAAGCAATGTAACAAATATTCATGACGTCAACAGAGCACAATTGAAATAGTGCTGCAAAATAGTGTAACAGGGGGCAAACTGCATGCTTTCATATAATATGCGAGGAATTATTGGTCAGCTGTCAGATTGTAATATTATTACGTTCTACGGGTTGGCAAGAGGCAAATAAAAGTGTTCTACAGCTGCCACTTGACAACAAGTGACAGTGGCAACAGTGCCACTTGACAAGTGGCATTCACTGCTGCATCTACGTTTAAAGTGCAGATATATGTACTATAAAGTAGATATGACCGCCAGTGTAGATGAGTTGTAAGGCATCAAACGGTGGTCTCGTGTTTGGTCTGTGCCGCTTGCAAGTTTACTTTTCATTCACTTTTTTTGGTTGCGGAGGTTTTCTTAGTCGCGCGATGTCGCACTTCAGGGTCGGTTGTGGTGCCGTCCACACCGTCACTGCGCGTGCTCTTGTCTCGCGCCTCGTGCCGCATGCTCGCGTCTTTAGCAGGCCTTGGAAGACACCCGCGAAACTGTCACCTCTCTGCCCCTCTCTCGCATCGCAAGGGCGACGCAGGCAGCTTCTGCTAGTCTGCTCACGCTGCACGACTGTTCACTGGTCAACCCGCACATTCAGGTACTGCATCGCGCGTCAGTAATTTAGTCAAGGGCATCTTTACTTGGCTTTCGCTTGACGTCGAAGGCAACGCTCTTCCTTCATTTGTTCATTGGAATAAATAGGAAGAAATAACAAATAAGCGTTCTCAAACCATACCTAATACGCAACATTCACGCGATACCCCCCCAACTCTGCGCCGAACTTAATCAAGTGCCCCCCACCGCCTTGGGGAGATGTGGGCGGCATTTTTTTCATGTACAGTAAAATTACTTCTCATAATACCTCTATACTTTACTAAGTAGAATAGTCTGCTAGTTCTCAATAAGAATGTGTCCTGCAAAGAAAACAGCGCTTTAAACATGCAATTCTATTGAGGTTTGTGGCTTCTACCCTGCAATGTTTCAGATCCCCACAGCAACCTACAAACACTGAATTCGCCACCTCATTGTCATTTCTCATACCTCATACGGTAACCGACTTGGACGGCAACCAGGTGCGCTGTCATGTTCCCTTGGGATGTGATGTAGTAACCGGCGTGATCTACGACCTTGATGTCACTATTTCCAATACTGACTTACAACTTCTTGTCAAGTCAACAACTGATACTCCAATTGTTGATGTCACCCGGCTAGGCAAGTCTCGCTGTGTGAAGATTGCGTTTAAGAGCACATCACTCCCCTCTCATGTGAAGGTGGGGTACTTCAGACATGCTGTGCGGCCTTTCATTCCAAAGCCTCTCCAGTGCCGTAAATGCATGAAACTTAGACATGTGAGCAGCGTCTGCGAGAATTCGGTGGTATGCCACCGCTGCGCCGAGCACCATGAAGCGGATAAGTGCGTCGCAACTGTCAAGAAATGCTCTAATTGCAATGGATCCCATGAAGCCACATCGAAGGACTGCCCGCGGATTCAGAAGGAAATTGCCATCTTGAAGGAGATGGTGCGCGATCACTCATCTCATCGAGAAGCCGCAGCTAAAGTCAGAAGGCGTCATTCACGTCGACGTCGCTCTTCGAGGACGCCCGCTACCTCCTCGACACGCTTGCGTGATCCCTCATCAGTACCACCTCCTTTGCCTCCCAGACCACATGTCATGGGAAAGGCTGTAAAGGACAAAACCAGTGAGCATACCCTAACTGCGACAGAGTGGCCTGCACTTCAAAGGGAAGCAGCATCAAGCGAACTGAAGGAGTTTCATGACAGCCAGTCCGCGCTCCCGGTTCAAGATCTTTCCAACCAAGACAGGCAAGTGACTGCAATCGTGCAATCATTAATTGCCACGATTCGCACGCTACTGAGCAGCATACAATCTCCGTCTGCTAAGAGTGCACTGCAAATACTGGATGCACTGAATCCAGTTCTTTCTAACTTCGTATAAGCACAATGGCTCAACAAAATCTCATCTTCCGCACTGAAGTTAAAAGTGCGTCGATTTTTCAGTGGAATGCCAGAGGCATGAAGTCCCGTATCTCGGACTTTCGCCAATTTGTTCGGGCCAATCAATTCCCTATACTTGTCATACGTAAACCAAACGTATCAACACCTTATAGATTGTCCGGTTATGAAGCTTTTTGTTCAGCCGCTTGCGAAGAACGAAGCAAAGTAATTGCTTATAATCGCACAGACTTGACTTATCTTTCGCACCCAATAAGTTCAAATGACGACAATAAGTACGTGTGTCTTCGTGTAAAGAAGAATGCAGTTTCGTTCACGCTTATTGGTGGATATATATCTCCGTCATCGCGATTTGACTGCGACAGATTAAAAGACATTCTAATGAGAACCGATGGGCCTTGGATCATCACCGGTGACATCAATGCCCCTCACATGCTTTGGGGGAGCACTAGGATGAATGCCAGGGGCCGGAACATTGTTACATTCGCTTCCAATTACGACCTTTCCATCATGAACGATGGTACCCCCACATATCTGCGGGGTCTCACGTATGGCAGTTGCCTTGACCTGACATTGGTGTCACGGTGCTTCTCTCACAAAGTTAAGTGGTTTTGCGTTATTGAGACTCATGGGAGTGATTACATACCCATCTACGTGACGATCGATGGTATCATAAAAATTTCTCTTCCGGTGTTGCATTTGGCACTGACTGGTCGATGTTTGCATCGCGTGTTGAGAACGCTTGCCAAGAAGGCTTCGCCTGCAGCTTGGAAAATACCATAGCGGAAGCTATGCAAGCGTCGAAAAGTAAATTACCATTTTCGTCTAAAATAACACAGTTTGACATCGAACTGGAAAAATTACGAGCTATACGAAGGCGTGCTGAACGACGATACAGACGCACAAGATCAATTTACGATCTGAGGGAAGCAAGGTGGCTCCAGAAAAAGATTCAACGACGCATTTACAAACTCGAGAGCGAACGCTGGAAAGCATTCTGCGAATCTCTAGACTCTCATAAACCACTGTCATATATCTGGAGAACAGTTCGCGGTCTTCGCTCCTCTCCGCAACAACGGCACCCTTTTAAAGCTTTGGCACTCCATCATGGAAAAACAGAACTCGAGGTGGCTGAAGAATTTTGCGCGAGAGTTGCCGGGAATATAATGAACGAGAGCATCGACGCCGTGATCGTTCCTGAGACGCGATTACCAGAAATGGACATTCTGTTCACCATGGAAGAACTGGAAGGTGCGTTAGTCGCTTCTAAGCGCATATCATCGCCAAGTCCTGATGGTATTACTTATAGTGCGTTGGGACACCTTGGACAAAAAGCCAGAAAAGAACTTTTAACGTG